GTCTGCAGATATGGCTCAAATGAACATTGTTCGTTGTTTTCATTCATTTTATCGTCCACCAACAAAGAATTGTGTAAGTTCGGCCCCTTAAAAAAGTATGATGTGTTTGGTGCAACAAGTTACACTCAGAAGTTTAAAACTTCAAGAGAGTGCATACAGTAGAGTCGTTTTTTTTAAACGTGTAACGCCAAGTTAAACAATAACAAGATAATAATGAACAGTGGGTACTTAAATTTCACACTGAGCATTTTTAAAAGAACAACATGTTTTGTGTGACAAAATATGCTCTGAACTTGCTAATAACATACAATGGGTACTTAAAACTCACATTTAGCACTTAAAATAGTACAGGATATTTGGTGTGATAAGTTATACTTCAAAATGTAATACTTTTAAGATTTGGGGGTTACAGTTTTGCTTCAGTTTCTAAATGTGAGTTAACACAGTTCACTAATAAAATATGTAGCTAGCAAGCTTAAAAAGTGTTTTAACCTTCATCTGTGCTACTTCAGAGTTAATGGAGCTGATTATTCATGGAGAAATATCTGCCGCATTGGGTGAGGTATTTATAGTATTAGTGTGGCTGTGGGGATGGTGTTGTTTTTTTACCGTTGTGCATAAGATTGCAAGCCATCCGCCGACAGAAGGAAGTGCCTCCGTTTTCTGTCAGAGTTTAGCACCCTCGCCTACTTGTGCCATCCGTTAGACAGTTGCCATAGATATCCCATAATGCCACAGTCGCAGCAATGCAGAGAAGCTAGGAGACGACAGGAAGCTCAGTCTGTCCATTAGCCCGTAAAGCTGCTGTTGCGTTAACAAATGGTCAAATTTATGGAAGCCCATTTCTGTCACATAAGAAAAGAAATCATAAGTTGGCATGTCAAAATTATAAGATGAAAAGTTGAAATTATGACTTTAAAACTTATAATTATGAGTCAAAAAATCTAATTAAAGTCGGGTTTTTTTGCTTTTTATCTCATAAATTCAATTTAGTATGTCATAATTTTGACTTTTTATATCATAATTAAGACTTATGTCATCATTTCGCCTATTAAAGTCATAAATCTGACTTTTTATCTCATAATTTCAACTTTGTCATAATTGTGGCTTAATATGTCATAATTTTCGACTTGTGTGATAATTTTGACTTTATCTCATAATTATGACTTAATATGTCATAATTTCAATGTTTTATCTCACAATTATGTCTTTTTTATCTCATGATATCGACTTTGTCATAATTATGACTTAGGATGTCATGATTTTGACTTATCCCATAATTTTGACTTTTTATCTCATAATTAAGACTTTTCATCTCATAATTTCAAATTTGTCATAAGTGTGGCTATGCCATAATTTCAATTTATGTCATACTTAGTATGTCATAACTTCAACTTTTAACTTAAAATGTCATAATTACGACATTTAAGACAACTTTTATGTCATAATTTTGTCTTTTATCTCATAATTATGACTTAATGTCATAATTTTAACGTTTTATCTCATAATTATGTCTCACAATGTCGACTTTGTCATAATTATGATTAGGCCTATATGTCATGATTTCAACTGGTCATAATTGTGACTTTTTATGTCATAATTTCGAATTTGTCATAATTGTGGCTGTCATAATTTCAACTTTTTATGTCAGTTTTGACTTTTGTCATACTTAGTATGTCATAATTTCAACTTCATAATTGTGACATTTAAGCCAACTCTTTACGTCATAATTTCAATGTTTTATCTCATAATTATGTCTCTTTATCTCATAATGTCAAACTTTGTCATAATTGTGACTTAGTATGTCATAATTATGACTCGACTTAAACAATTTTTTCTTACGTGGTGGAAAGATGCTTCCATGCACATAAGCACACTTAATCTAATGAGTGCAGAACTGTCTTACAGACAGAAACAAGTGTACTGCTTGTTTTTATCTTTTATTCCAGTCCCCTCAAACTCCCGAACATTTATTGTTAAATCAGAGCGACGACCCTGCAAACCGTAGCCGCTTTGTGACAGATCAGTAGAAAGGAAGGACAAGAGATTTAGTTGTAAGGAGAAGGAGAAGCCTTCAGGGTATCCCTTTCAAAAGTGTAAATGAATCATGAAATCAGCCTAAAACGGAAGAGCGCGTTGTGTAACAGTTGGCAAAATGGCAGGTTTTTTGTGACTGCTGTGGAGGATTCGAACTCCAGAAGATGTTTCTGGTTGCCAACGCGTTCTGGTGCCGACTGGCCTCCGCTCAGGCTAAGTTTGGCTCTCACGCCAAAGCCGATCAGCATGTGCGGCAGCCCACACGTGTGGCATAAGTATACAGTATGTATCAACCAGAAGAAGCAAAGGCTGAGAATATGCATGGAAGTCATTGAAAGTCAGGAGGACACGGTCTGTTACGCCAAAAACTTTGTGACTCGTCCTTTCCCGTCTTCCTTTACCAGCTGCAGACTGAATCCAGTCGTGTAACAATGCGTCCTCGGCCATCTGAAGCTGCTCGGCCATAAACCCCTATAAAATTAGTAAAAGATGGCTTTTAATAAATCTTTTTATATGGCTTTTAATGAAAAATACTTTTTTCATATTTCACCCTAATATCAAAATAAATTAAGAAATTTATATTCATTTTTAAGAAAATGTATATTCATTTTTAAGAAAAAAATAAAAGTACACAAAGACTATTTTTAAAGTGTTTTACACAAAAATGACATATACACTCTAAAAAATGCTGGGTTAAATACAACCCAGTGCTGGGTAAAATAGGGACAAACCCAGCAATTGGGCTGTTTTGACCCAGCGGTTGG